CATCGCTTCTAGTAACAGGTGCCTTACTAGTAGTAACAAAGAAGCTAGTAGTAACAAGTGCATCGCTTCTAGTAACAGGTGCCTTACTAGTAGTAACAAAGAAGCTATTAGTAAATTGCGTCCACTGCGTCCATCCTCTTCCTATTCTTCCTGCGTCCGGTGTCTCCAGATCCGGGCTCCTCGGGAGATGGGCATCGACACTGGTGCCTGGACGTGGCCGACATTCCGATCATCCAAGTTGTGGCACAATGTACATGTTGTTTTGGGGATTCTTTGCTCGAACCAACATTCAGAAGGGAACCCGCAGTAGCTATATATATATATATACTGAAAAAAGTAAGGCAATAGTGGAGAAGATTGGAGAAGAAATATCTTGCGCAGTCTCGGGAGCCGATACTTTGAATGTCTGATAATGTCTGTATCAAGTTTTGTTTTCAACATGTCCAATCACACTGAGAGATTCTGAAACATGTCGTTGAGCCGTTGAGCCCTCATAGTTGAGCCGTAGTGCAAGCTCTGGCTGCAAAAAACAAAACATATATTCTTATTGTTTAATGCATCTCTCCTGATTCTTATAAGGATGCCTTCAGTGCACGTGATGTGAACTATGTTGAACATCTCCCACTTCCGAGCTCAGCCCGAGGGCCTCACGCCAGGAGCTTCGCCGGCTGCTTTGTCTGCTCGTGCTCGCTTGTCTGCTCATGCTCGCTTGTTTGCTCATTCTGCTTGGGGAGTATTGAGGAGGGTATGCAGTACGCGCCAAACGGATGGAGTCACGGATGGAGCTTAACCTGGCAGGTCGAGCTGACAAATGTCCCAGAAGCAGCACAAACATCAAAGCTCATGACAAACGCTCAGCGGAACCCTTTGATGGGACATGACTCAGACCATCAAAGCGTAAGGTATTTTTAAATCATGCATGCATGGTCGGTCCAAGGTCATTGCAAACTGCAAATCATTGATGATCTGCGTGTTCGGTGAGGCTAGGTGAAGTTGTCTTTTCCAAACAAGCTGAATGAAAGCAAACTTATGCGCTGCTTTTGCAAGATTTCTGCAGCATCTGAGTTGCCGACCAGGTACTCTCTTTACCACAAATAGTATGAGTTACGCATTCAATAGGATATCTGTTTGATTTACCCGACACTCAGGGCTGGAGAGGTCCTGGAAGAACTCACTTCCTATCCTGCTGAAAGGTCCCTGATTCTGGCTGCACGTCAGAAAGTTTGGCACTGGAGCCTAAATATATTAAATACACTTTCACTTAGATACCTATTGACAGTGATATTGAGTTGAACTGCAAGGCTCATAAGATAGGTACACTGGTAGGTACCTGTCCTCTAGAGTGGGTGGGGGTTGAATCTTGCAACTCGCCGTCTGCGGGGCGGCAATCGTCTCTGGGTACGTTGCCACCATGGCCATGTCCACTCGGACGTGCAGCCACATGTTTTTGTCCAGTTTCCCACTGACTGGGTAGAAACACGTCGAAACACTAATCGCGTAAGTTGCATAACAAACATGAACATTCAGGTTCTGCAACATGAACAAAATGACGCCGTATGACTGTATGTCGAAAGGAACAAGGCTGGATATGACTGGCATTGACTGTCAGAGTTCCGGATCTCCTGTGGTTTCCTAAGGTTTGTTGGTTTCCGTTCGCCTCGCTCTACCCCCCCCGGAGTCGCTCTACCCTTCACGTCTTCCACACGTCTTCGTCGCCTCCCATCGCCCAACATGGGCGGCGCCGAGGCGATTCCCACTTCCGCCTGAGCGGCGCCGAGTCCGAGAGTCTGGCCCCGCGGGACCCAGAGCGGGACCCGGTCGCGATCAGTCTCAACATGGGCATGTACTCAACATGGGTGCCTTTGAGGTGCTGGTTTTGACCTACAACTACAAGCATCTGGGATCATCTGGGTATGGATTGAAATAGGGAGACACCCGGGTTTGCCTATTCTTCCTCTTCCAAGGACTCGAACTCAGCAGTTACCGGCATTCGCCCTATTATACTTCCACCGGTTTTGAGTGGATTCCAACCGCTGGTCATGAGGTCTTGATCGCTCGATCCGGGGCCTGGTAGAGGAATCAGGGTTTTCCTTTGGAATCACGACCAAAGAATTGGATTAACATGGGCCCAACAGTACCAGCTTCAGGGGCGCAGTAAATAGACCCAGAAATACCCGCTTGGCACCCACTGGTGGGAGGGAATGCAGCAATCCAGTGATTTGGGAAGGTCCAAATCGAAACTTGCCTGTCAAATCCATTTCAAGTGATGTACTTTGGAAGTTGGATATGGTGCATTCTAAACAGCACCCACCATATGTTCAAGCCCCTGCAACCATTTGGAACATATTGGCAAGACTGTGTCAGCATTGCCTGTGAGATCCTGTGAGTGTAGCCAGGGACCATCTGACACGATTATCGTGTTTTGTGGGGCCTATATTTCCAATGCGCAAACTCTTCTCCCGGATGAAGGCACTGTGCTTGGCTTCTTGTGGCGCTGGGCTGTGTTTGTCAAGGCGTTTTCGCGGTTCCGCGTATAACATGAGCGGGGAGCTGGGATCTTGGCCCGTTGATCAGCGAGCAATGGGGGGGAAGCCCTTGCTGCTTTTGCAGAGTGCCCGGCGCATTTGGCTTGTCCTTTGCTTGTTGTTTGGGAAACCGATATGCTTAAGCTGCTTAAGCCTAAGGAACATCATGGGAAGGTTTTGTTCTCAGCAGAATGCACAAGGTGGTGCAAATCATGGAGGGAACCCTTTGCCCATCGGTTTAGCTTACTTGACCATGCAAATGCAAAGCCTTCTGACAACAAATGTATTTGCACATATTACATCTTGACTGGATTATCCGTTGTTGGTAAGGACCATATCGTTTTCTAGAGAAACAAAGCCGACGACACACAAAGCCGGGTCACCATGGGTCGCACCATGACCAAATGAGTCAACCAAAGCATTTTGGTCAGTCACATTGTCAATGCGCGGTATATTTTTTGTGAATGACTTACAGTATGTGATAAAGATTTCATATTCAGTCAATGTGACATTCATTCGCATAGTTTATCTAATGATAAATTTAACATTTTGTGGGGAGTACATGGAGGAAGCAAGGGCCACGTTCAGTCACACACCGTCACACCTGCTTGCAACACCGGTTTCAACGTGTCGCAGCTCCTTTCAGCAACCAAAGGCTGTGTGGATCAAGCGATACTGATTTCAGATGACTCAGGAAGAGATATCCATCCAAAGTGCTCTTGCTTAGTCTCATGCAGCATTGCTCCTTTGGTTGTTGGCATCCTGTGTAGTTATTCATATATATATATAGCCGCTTTGTCATTCTGACGGTGCATAGTCTGGCGATTGGCTGCTGTGTGCTGTTTGAAAAAGGTCAGTATCAGAAGTGAACAGGAGGCAGGACCAAATGCACAAAAAGACTTGGAAAGGGAGCGCTGTCTCGAAAGTCGATTCATTCTCTTCCAAAAGCTTCATGACCAAGGGTGCGTGTGGGAGATCAATGTGGAAAGGCTCTGTTCATGTCATCCAGGATAGGCTACAAGTATGAAATGAATGAACATCATTGAGCATCTGTTTCAGGCACACCTATGTCACTGTCTATATGTTCGTTGCCCTCTCCTCATCATCTGTGCCCAGTATCAACACATGCACGACAACGCACATCCGCGCGAGGTCGTCTCTCGGCCGAGGTGGCGGACGGAGTGGTTGGAAGGACGCTTCGGCGGAACATCGCTGCGCACAGCGACGTTCACCATCGCGGACTCCAAGACCCTCAGATGGACCGGAATTTCTAGACTGCATTGCGAGTCAAACAAAAAGGGCAGGTGTTGGAAACAGTTCTTTCGGAAGATTGGGTGCAGGAGTCGAGTTGGGTCAACAGCAGTTTTGGGAGTACTGAAGGCCTGGTCTTCTGGGCGCGCTGGGTGCCCTATCAAACAAAATCAATCCATTGCCTGACTGATGCTTGTGAAGGAATGGGGGGATCGATCCCAAGGAAGTTTCTAAATTGACTCATTTTGACTCATTCCTCCTTCCCTTCTAATGAGGTGCTCAAGGCTTTCCGACACAATCAGGAAATTGAGTTCCAGTCAGCAGTTCAAAGCAATAAGTACTGTCTTCATCTGTCTTCATTCTGACATGTTTCCAGCGCGGTTCAGTAACTGGGCTTGGGTGTGGCTGGTACATGCAAATTCCGCCTAATTCCGCCTTCCTTTCAGACAATCCTCCAGAAACACATATCAAACAAATGAACAAATTTAGAACAGAAGAAGCATCAACCTGACGATGTCTGAGGCTTTCACCCACATCCACAAGGTTTGAGAGCTACAGATTGAGACTCTCAGCACCAAGGAACTACAAAGTCTCAGCGAGGACCCACAATGAGCAGTCACAGAATGTCATAGACGCCTCTTAACATCTAAGCAGTGTGGAGTAATTGTAGAGATCGGCTTGAATCTGGCCGGGTTGATCTCATCTGGGGTCTGAGAAACGCGCATGGAAAGGATGTGGTCTAAGCCAAGTGACTCAACTACCGCCCACCTGGCAAACACACAGCCAAATGAACCAAAAAGTCAAAGTGTATCGTGGGAGTATTGGGGGAAGTTTACTTGGCATGGATTGAACATGATTCAAGGTAAATGATGTAAATGCTCTTGAAGAAACAACATGGCTACTGTTTCAACACAGGTATCCCGAAGGCAACGCTAGAAGAACCCTCACCACAGGTCTGCGGTCCAGCAGGGTGCTTTCTGGAGCTACTTGTTCCTAGGAGCAAGGACGCTATTACTAGGGGTGCTCCTGCAGGAACAAAGGGTCTTCTGTTTTCTGCATTGCAATGCATTTGCAAATCCCTGGAACTCTCCAAAGGGTCGGGGACACAATGTGGGGGTGATCTCTTTGTTTATATTTCTTTGAACAATTCAGAAAGGGTACCTGGTGGTCAAACTGGACGATTTCCCACACAGGGTGTGTTCTGCCAATCGTGCACAGGGTGTAACATGTTGTTGATAAGGAATTGCCCATGTAAGTTTGCCTCCAAGAACTCTACGGACAATGAAAGTCAAGCTCACGGGGAAGAAACAAGTTAAAACTTGATAACATTTGTTGTGGTGTGATCGCCACTGGATGTGTTGACAGGGTAAAAAGAAGTGTTTTGCAATGTTTTACCCCTGAAAGGAGGGTTCGGTGGCGTCGAATATTCCTGCCGCTTCTCCCACCCTCGCCCTCTCCACCGAGGATCGACATTGAGGACCTCAATGCCATCTCAGCGGTCATGACTTGCTTTTCCAAGCGTTCCCGGACGGCCGCCAACCTCGTGGGTGGCTCATCCAAAGGCAATTTTCTCTGAAGACCACTTTGGAGGGTAGCAAATGGCAAAGGGTAGACCATTTTGTATGGATCATAGTCAGTCCAGAAAAGCGAATGCCCTAAGTTCCTAGTAGCTTCTTGCAGTAGCTTCTTGTTCCTAGTAGTAAGGCCAGGAGCGCCCCTAGTAGCGTCCTTGCTCCTAGTAGCGATGCCGTATGGACACCATGCGCCGGATTAAGGGATCAGAATCCCGTGATGAGGGATCTCGAGTCAAACAACCCACGCGGCTTGCAAGACTTTCCTGTCTTCTTGGCTGGAGAGATCCTATTTGGGACGGTCTCTGTACTCCCATTTTGGGGATCACTCGTGCACTCTAGGTGCAATGAGATGTCCGTCCAGCTGCCAAGCTGCTCCGTGTCCAGGTTGCTCGGCTTGACGCCTGCCTCGTTTGGCGTGCGATGCCGATGGCCATCGGCTTGCCCGAGCCGGACGGGCGGGAAGAATCGCAAGGCGTGCCAAACGCGGCCACAATTGGGACTTTCACTGACATGTCAATCTGACGAAACCCTTTGCAGCAAAGCTTATGTACACAGCATCAGCACAACCTTTATCTTGTAACCACTTGCCGCAATGTACATGACAACACTCTAGCTTTATATAGTTCTATGTGCGACCAATTGCTTGAATCACCTCCCTTTCAGGGGTAAAACAGTTACAACCACCACCAACAACTATATACATTTAGTTGTGCGTACGTGCAAAAATTAAACTGAAAGGAAGGAGATACTTCACTTAAGCCTCCACCAATCCTCCAAAAGACTCCCCAGCAGCCCCCAATAGACCACCCCGCCGTAGTCAAAAGGCTATACACTTTGTATTTGCTTTAAAGAACGGTTCTCACATTTTCTGGCAGGACGTGGTGCACAGGAGTACTTTTAGCCGATTCCCTTCTGAAAACGTAATGTTTTGACGTTCCTCATAGCGAGTCCTTTCAGACTCGTCACCATTCTCAGGACGTGTTTCAGTGCCTTCAAATTTTCAATCCATGGACATGAAAAGAGTCAGACCCGGACAGGGCAAAACTTGTTGGCGGTTTCAACTTAATTAGTCATTAAAAACTACTGTAAATTGATAGAATTAACATTAATTAAACATATATATATATCATTCATTCATATTCATTCATTCCTTTGCAAAGGTCATGAAAGTCCTGGTTGAACATTTTGATGGTTTTTGCATGGTCATACTTCCAAATCCTTCTGGCAGGGCTGTGCGGCTATCTTTGGTTGGTGGTATCCGCTTTTAGGAACTCTGTCAACAACGCTTCCTGCTGCGAACATCCCACCTCGCTTGGCACCTTGGCTAGGTGTGGCAAGTCTGACCTCAAAGCAGCACAGCTACACCCCCAAGCTGGGCAGGACCAAGAAAGGAACATGGAATCCCAGTCTTGGCTTTTGGACCTGCACCGAAGCAACTTTGCAACGAATGAAAACAATCTATGCAACTAATTGCTAACAATGCATGGGCTAAAGGATTATAAAGTTTGCAAAGGCCATCCACACTGGGAAAGGAACAGTGGTGATCACAGATTCCAGCACAAACACAATGCTAGCCAAAATGTGCATCCAGCTCCAACATGCTTCCACACCTCCGCCTCAATCCTGCTGCGTTGAGGATATCCACCGAAATTATCGGGTCAAGGTGTAATGGTGTCTAGTCTCGAGCATGTGTACATAGAAGGGACTATAAGCACCTGAAGTTTCTACTTTGCCAAGCACGTTTGATACTACATTGTTCCTAAACAGGATCCTGTGCCGGCTCGAAATGATTCTAATTATAATTCCTTTGCTTCGAGTGATCCCCACCATGACATGCCATGGTGCGGAGCACGTTGCCATGGTTTTGCTTGTGGGTCCTCGGGCTGGGGTTGCTCTTTTAGTGTTGGGGAGTTCGCATCGGGGTGTCGCCAGGCTCTCCTGTTGGCATCCAAAAGTGCTACCCGTGCCCTGTGACAACCTGCCACGCAAAGTGCCACACACAGGTAGTTACTTTGCTGTCGTTGTGTGCTTGTGGTTGTGTTTGTGTGTTGTGTGTTTGTGGTTGTTGTGTGTTTGTCATTGTCGTGTGCTTGTGCTTGTGTTTGTTGTTGTGTGTTTGTGGCTGTGTGTTGTGTGTTTGTGATTGCTTGATTTGTTTGTGTTTGTGATTGTGTTTCTGGTTGTGCTTGTGGTTTTGATTGTGTGTTTGTGATTGTGAGCCGAAGCTCGCGGTTGAGGTCCGGCGGGGAACACTGCCAAGTGGAACTCGCAGTTGAGGTCCGGCGGGGAACACTGCCATCTGGAGCTGGCGGTTGAGGTCCGGCGGGGAACACTGCCAAGGGGAACTCGTGGTTGAGGACCGGCGGGGAACGCTGCCATCTGGAGCTGGCGGTTGAGGACGAGGCGGAGGCGGAGGAGAAGGAGGAAGGCAGCTGACATAACATCTAACAACCCTCACCTTACAGGTGGGGAAAAAAAACATTTAACAATATAATTCATATTATAATCGACATCGACTCCTTAATATCTTTGTTCCCCTTCGGGAGTCCTAGGCCAATCATGGATGACCACGCAAAGCATGGGACAAGGGCATCACCTTTATTAAGGGGATGTGGTCTCCATATACCTCTAATCTCAAACCTTGTTAATCTTGCTGACCTTGAAGGGGGGCGGTTGATTAATGCGGTGTCGACATTAGTCATGTATATTGTACATGTTGTCTCGTTGAAACCAATTCACACCTCAGGTTTTGCCACACCGAGTAGATCTTCCAAGACGAGTCTAAACAAGAGAGATCTGCCACATGGAACGAGCAAGAATGCCTTCCCATCCAAGACAACCTCTGCCAGCGATACTGCAGAGTGCAAACCCTACAATGCCGCACCATGTATACAATATCCATCAATATCTCCCGCACCTTTCGAGAAGTAGTTCAAGGTTGCGGCCAACAGAATCAACAGGGTCACCTACCAGCAACGCCCAGGACTCAACCACGACTCAACCAGCCCAGTGGCTGCTCCATCTCTGTGCTCTGAGTATCTATATCGTCATGTGCCTGGCAGGGCGGCTCAGGGGGGCAGGGCTGGGGAGTCTGGGCAGGTCTGAAGAAATGTTGTTTGTCATTTGTGTCAGCGTTTAATCATGTTTAATCTACATATTTACTGCAGTTGCCTTCACTGGTGCGGGCACACCCACACAAACAGTCTTCGCGAGCACAATGCCGCTCAAACAGGATCGACAAGCACCCGAGCCTTGTAGTGACTAGTCCTAATAGATGGAGACACCACATCCTCAGTTCTGCATCACCATGTGTGTCCAAAGGATTTCAGTGTTGACCATCGTTGTGACCTTGTACTGAGTTGAGTGAAGATAAAATAACAAATGTTGCAATGGCAATGGAGAATGATCCAGATTCAAAAACCTGTAGCTGCAGAAAAAGACTCTCCTTCAATGCTAGCTGGCAAGCTTACTTATGTTTTGGTGATGTCTCGGCCATGTTTTGCTGGTGTATCAGCCATGTTTTTGTGATGTCTCAGTCATGTTTGAGTGCTGTCTCGGTCATTTTTTGGTGGTGTCTCCATTGAGTTTTGACGGTGTCTCGGTCGTGCTTTGGTGTTTGGGTCGGTTTCGATAGTGCTTTGGTCACGTATTGGTGGTCCCTTGGTTGTGTTTTTGTGATGTCTCTGTCATGTTCGCTGGTGTCTCGGCCATGTTTTGCTGGTGTCTTGGTCATTTAGGTGGTGTCTCGCTTATGTTTGAGTGGTGTCGTCCTGTTTCGCTGAGTGTATATACATACTTAAAATGACCAGCAAAGTCCATCAAACATCCATAGAAGGCTTGAGAGCGGTAAAAGCCAACAAACTTACTTAGGGCCAATTGGGTGTTAAACATAGAGCAGCACGTGGCATGGCACGTTGGAGTTGTTTAGGCTTGGATATCAAAACCCTCACTTTGATCCATGCTCCTTTGTCAGCGATGACCACTTCAAGGAGACCTACAAGAAAGCCAGCATCCCAGGTGGTCATACCTGGTTTGGCCTCCAACCCAAGACGGGGTGGTGACATCTCCAGCAGCCCAGGGCCCCCTCATGGCCCCTCCATCCTCATCGGGTCCACCCTCATCGGAGCCAAAGTGTCCAAGCGCTTGACGATGTCGTCGATGCGATCGCCCACGAGATTGAAGCAATCCTACGGGCATTGTCATGCGCAAACGGAATCAAACGGAAACATACTGCAGTCCCTGGTATATATAACAATATCTCCTGAGAAGGTGTTTGAGGGATTTTGAGGGTGTGTTTGAAAGGTCCCAGCGCCTTCTCAGCCTTCTCAATCAGTATGATGTGTGTCTTTTTCTCGGGGTATTAATGGATATACGTGCTGGTATCAAAGGAGTACCTTCCGGCCTGCGCCACTTCCCAAAATTGATGAGTGTCTTCACATGCTTTCACAGCTTTAGCCCAGAACAGGAGGGAGGGCACAAGTTCGGAAGTGAAAGAAACGCCTTCCTTCCTCCTCATACCTGGGCTGGTCAAAACCACTGTGGCCACAATCCTAATCTGCAATCCCCGGGCCATCCGACTTATGAGGGTAACCTGCAATCTATCTGTCATCCCCTCATGTCCTCCGCATGAATCTGGTTTCACCTGCTTGGTGTACGAGTCAGGCCCACGAAAACGCATTCCTAGTGTGGAAATTGACCCTTACGATTCCTTACGATTCATCCAAGAATAACATAGAATAAAGAGAAGAGGACGATTGAATCGGAAGAGTGAAAACAGATAACATTCAATCATGCACCTAACGATCGGGCGGCCTGCACAATGTAACGCAGGATTGGGAATGTTGCAGATTGCAGCCCAATTAAAACATATTAAAACAAACAAAAATGCTTGCCTACCCAGTGAACCTGTTCAATTCACTTCAAACGGGCTCTTTTGACCCATCGAAACACTTTGATCCAGTCATTTTTGGGCGGTGGCCTTTCCGGTCGTGCCTCGCAGAAATTGAATAGATCATCCTGCTGCTGCATCGCCCGCCTGGAGGGTGCAAATGAGATGCAACAAGAGGTGTCCATCAGCCTGTGGTCACCAAGCGATGAAGCAAACGCTAGAGCCACTATATAGATAGAATCAAATTTACTTGTACCGGGTTCGATGCTTTCAATGGATGGTCCATTGGAGTGTTCACGACGTGGCTGATGCAAGAGTTCCCCACAACCACTTGACTGCGCAAGCAGTGGAAAACGTTGGGCGCCTAGCGGATTTCGTCCGGACGAGGAGCCAAATGGGGTTGGCTCCTCCAAGTCTGTCAACGTGAACCAGCCAAAGGGGACTTGCTTGTCCGATGATCCGATCACCGCGAGCGTGAGTCTTTTGATAGTCTCATGGAGCCTGCGATGTTCTTCATTGGGATTTGCCCCTTTTAAGCTGTCGGTTTGCTCACTTTGGTCTGGTCTTCTGCTACTCCTTGGAACTTTGGACTTCAACGACATAGTCCTGAAAGAGATGACAGGACTTGGGTCACGATCCCGAAGTGAGGATCTTCCGGGGCAGGTCTGCTCAATAGCTACAGTCCCTCGAGGCCGGAAACCAAGAACCCAAAGAACGCACGGAACCCCACTTCATCCGACCAATCCCGGTCAAAGACGTGCATCTGAGGGACTGCAAGTTGTACTTGATAAAGCGTGGCGCGGTTTTCGACTCATGCACCTGGGAGAGGGGAAATGTCAAGTACCAAAATGAAAACCAGCTTTTTGTCTAGCGTGCCCTTACTGAATTAAGTGAGTGGACGCTCCTATGTAGGTGCCCACTTAATTTAATAAGGGAGAAGTTCTCTCCTAGCTAAGACGCAGGATAGCTACGGTTTAACGCTTCTTCAAGAATTGCGGCGGGGGGGGAGCTTCTTTGAAGAAGCGCTCGCACTAATGACATTTGGTTTCTAGATGTTTTGTCAGTCAAACTTGAATAGTTCTATTGATTGTCGCGACTTGCAACGCTGAACGGATACTACAACTTGGATGCCACACGGCCTAATGTGGCCACTAAAACTCACTTTACACAATGACAATAGTATACAATAGTATGCACAAACTATGAGGCATGCAGAAAAAGGTCTCGGCAGAGTGAGTTGCGTAACTGTCCTATCCGAATAGCTTCACTCCAGGAAGATCCTTTTCCTCTACAAGGGGTCCTGGTCAGCTTCCATATTTGTTGGAGGGAGGGTAATCTGAGTTTATTCGATACGGACAAAAGACCATTGAACTGATGTTTTTGACCGCTACAAACCATGCAGGATCCCCCGTGTCCATTGACCCAGCCCCGGACTGATGTGCATTCAATGGTCACGCCATTCTGCTGGCGAAACGAACAGACATCTCCCCTCAACCGCAGAAGACAGGGTTTGGACCGATGGTTAGATCCAGTACCTCCGTTCCTTGGACGTTTGAGGTGGGTGCTTTTGATGTTTTCCGGAAGGGATCAAAACCACTTGTACCAAAATGATGTCTAGAATCTAGAGGCAGGAGTGGAAAGGGAGGGGGGAACCCCAAAGTTGGAACTACTCAGATGCTACAAAGTACTAGCCAGCCTACCCCGCACAATAGAAGACAATGCTGTTCATCGCTGGCACAGAGCAAATCTCTGTTCTGTTTGCTGGCACTGCGAAGCCAAAAACATATTTCAGCAACAAGAGAGGTACTGGGTTTTGGTGCGACAACATCTTCAAACTCGCCAGGGTAGGATACTGGGTTTGGGTGATCCGCGAAGGACCGCGTGGTAGGGCGCAGAGAGAAAAGATTCTGAAGGACGTGATGAAAGAAGAAACGCAACACCATGTAGCCAACTGCAACTTTGGGAACACATGGAAATGGAGTCTTTGCCTTAGCACTGTAGTACCAGGTGGTTGGAGGCCGATCGCTTCTAGGTTGGAGGCCATCGCTATTAGTAACTCAAAAGAATATTGTTCTTCTTGCCTGCCTGGGAGGGCCCGGTTGTCTCGCCTCGTCGAGAGGCGTGCCATCGTCGATTCTCGACGCTTGGAGCTAGAAGTCTTTCCTGTTTTTTCCAGTCGCGGCTTTAAGCACTGCAGGATCAATACACAATGTCATTGGATCAATGCCAAGGCCATTGTCATTCGCACCCGGCCAGAAATCTTTTGCAGGCCAGAAGCGTGTGCTGAAATGGCCTGGTTCAAGCTGGTTCCGAAAACCGAGTCACTGTAATTAGCTGCTTGTCTTTGAAGCTGTGGACTGACTTCAAATAAATTGTCAACCGCGCTATCCTTGCAACCGTGGTTGAGTCTGGTCTGTCACCACCGCAGGAAACAGCAGTGGATGGACCAAGACGGCGCATGAAGCCGCGCCGTCTCAGTTGGCCTCGTTGGGGCAAAGCTGAAATCTATGAGGGCATCTTTCCCCACATTTTTTTGTCTAAAGTCTAAAGGTATGTTTCTACCAGATGTGTCCTCCTCCAATTCTCCTCTCCCTTCATCTTCCTTCCTGCTCGGCTCGGCACGAGTAACAAGAAGCGCCTCTATGGATCGGTCTCCCGGTCCCATCACGCCGCCCTCGCCGCCCTCGATCGGTGCATTCAGGTCATTCACGAACCGCATGACGGTACGGTCTCGGCATGCTTTCTGATCCAAGCCACGCTATGACGCTATCTGAGGATATCTGAGGTCGTCGGAGCAGGCTGGAATTCGGAATTCTACAAGAAAAACCACTTCCAAGACATGTTTAAAAACGTAAACAACCAAAAGTTTTTAAACAAACCTCCTTTATACTGCCACAAACCACCAAAATCTCAATGTGTCACAGGTGTCCTCATGTGCCAATCAAACGACCGTAGCTGCTCAATGTAGCTCTTGGTGTCCACCTGAAAGCGACCGTAGTTCACTGGGTCCACCCACCCATCGACTCAAAGGCCCGATGAACTCCGCCGCGTTGATCTCACCTGCCGACCGTGTTAAAAAACCACGGGGGGGGGCGGGTTGACGCATGTCTGCGCAGCTTGGCAAACAATGTGCTGGAGAAATCATATATTACATAATTCAACAAATGCACACCAGTCTTCCGCGAGTGGAGGAAGCACAATTCCACCATTCCCAATGCCGGACAAACCGTATCAATCATTAAACAAACACCCATCATACGTATCATAAGTGATTCGGTGGAACAATTCAAGAGACAGCAGCAGGTTTCGATCGTCTGAGGTCGGGGGCACTCCCTCGTGTTGTGTTCGTCGGCGAACATCCCAACTAGGCTGTCATCAATCCTGGTTTCTGAAAAGGGTTTCCGTTGGAAACCACCAGCTTTCGCACCACCGGGCAGCATGGAATGGGGCAATGGAGCAATGCTTACGGCACGACCTAATTACACGACTTTGGGCAATGCTCGCCCAGGACAGTACAGAAAACAGCCGGCTCTCTGGTAGAAACGTAGAAACTAGCCAGCATACTCATGCATAGATTATCATGTTAAAGAAATGCATCAGTCGATTCAGTTGCCGTGAAGTGTCATCCAACCACTGGAGCAAAAACATGGTGGATTTCGCCCAGTCAAACAAAGCTGACTCTGAACCAACAGTGACAGCACAACAATGCTGCCACCCCTGCACGGACAGTTTCTTGGATTCATTCATTGACTTCTTAACTACTCAGCCTTTGTATCTATCTGTATGTGTGTTATCTCTATCCAGTTGGTTTAAGTTTTTGTTGTATCATGTTGCATAATTTAAGCTTTAAAGTTTCAGGACTAGTTTCAGGGTTTACTGAAGCCTTAGGAACAACTATTCCGATCATTTGTGTGTATTTTGAAGACACATTCCGCATCCACCGAAGAAGTTGACAAAAAATGACTTCAAACATGGTCACTCAATCACTGAAACTACAGTATATCCGCACAATTCGAAGCAAATCGCGCTCTGCGGGTTTCAAACTGCCCCACTATGTTGATGTCTCAAATGTATGAACAACAATCCTGATCAAGAACAATACAGGTTGCTCAATTTTTTCCTATCTGTATTGTTCTACAAACATCACAATTCTGTGTTTCACTACTCTGGCCAAACCCACCCAGTGTGACAGTCTAACCCTGACAAAACCAGAACGCCCCACCTTCAGCGTGGGTATCGATCATTTCGAAGAGCCTAAAACTTCAAAAGCGGCACAACGAGCGAGAGGCAAGCTCGCATACCCTGGGGCAGCCCAGATGTTTTCAGCGTTTTTTTGGAAAGCTGAATATTTCTGGATTTGAAGATTCTAGACAAACACTGCCTGGTGTTGCTGGCAAAGGGTTCAAATCTTCCAAAACTCCTGGTCGAAATCTTTGTCAGGATATGTTAGGAATGGATTGGACCCGTTCCTACTATGGCTATGGTTTAAACTTATATGGTGTCCACCTCAACCCCATGACGAACAAAACTTACGGTTCCTGCCTTACTTTTTGACCCACAAAAAAAACACATGGACGTCGACTTGTTCACACCAATCCTTGGAGGGCACCAGTTTACACCCAGAAATGGTCACCGAACCGAAAAACACACACTGCTGAGGCTGGAACTCTAAAAACAATCACCGGTTCTCCGCTCAGTTGCTGTTTGAGATCGGTCTCGTCTATGTCCATCACTCGCAAGCGGCTTTGGAACCTGAAGGAGAAAACTTAGGAAACAAAGGGAACGGATGGAAAAGGTCTTTCGGGGGCCTATCCACCGCGGCTGAGATGGAAGAAGTTGAGCCGGATGAAGAAGCCAATGAAGTGCTTTGACCCATTGGAAAGGGCACTCCACGTCGGGGGAGAATACGCACAGAAACATGAAACATCGTTTCGGGATGATGAGGGCTGCTTCGTAAAAAAATAAATAAATTCAAAAATAATCGCCGACCCCAGGCTAGGACCAAAACGTGAGCGTGAGCGGAGCGGGGCCGGCATGTTCCTGAGAAGGACTCCGGTGAGCGGTGGACGCGGTGACTTCTAGCCGTCACACTGACAAAAACCCGCAAAAAAAATGACACATGTTGAAATTCCAAAAGCGTGGCCAGTTGTCGAGGATTTGGCCTCGGGCTCGGCTCCCCCAGCTATTCGACTCCTGTCTCACCCCTTTGGATTGAGGCTGGGGCATGTGGTCGCGCGCCCCCCGCCGGGGACCATCTCTTCTCTTCTCTTCTCTTCTTGGCAGGATTGTGGGGCAACAAGGACAACCGGTTTTTTATGCTTTTTCACCTTCGCTTGAGGCCGGGGCGGGGACAGACCCGATAAGTCGATTTTGAGGCTTTCCTCCTGAATTCCAAACCACTGAGCTGTTTGGTCTAAAAACTTTTGGTGGGTGACCCACATCTCCGTTTTCGGTTCTTCGGTTGGGAAGCACTGTTCCCTCTCTCCCCCTCTCCCTCTCCCTCTCCCTCTCCCTCTCCCTCTCCCTCTCCCTCCCTCTGCACACCCCTGACAAAAGCCCTTCGTGGCACCCTACTTGCATCTGCTTGCACTTCGTATCCCCTAATTTTTGCTTCACGCGCGACATCTGCGCACCGGATCTGTGGCAAACAAAGCAGAGGAATTGGACCATGGTGGGATTGGTCCACCTTGGCAACGCTCCTCCGTGCATGCTTCAACCTCCCAAACACAGGGATGGACGGCTCTCGTGGCGGCTTCTGGATTCGTGCAAGATTCTGTGAAAGGTAGTTCCATGCTTCCGGAGTTTGGGATTTGGGGCCTCAATAGCATTTGTGACCTAGTGTGAACACAACCGGAGATAATCCGATATGTTGAGAGGAAGGCTGTTGGCTGTTTTTTGGAAAGAGAGCTTGCTCTCGACAAACGGTGGTCTGAGACCTCTGGCGCAAGTTGTCGTGAACGACAAGCTTCACAACATTACTGGGGAACCATGTCTGAGACAACTCTTGCGCTGCTTCTCAAACATTTCTCCGCGGCCTCGTGTGTGCCTGGCTCACAGACTTTTTGAGGTTTTTTTTGTGTGTGTGTCACACTCTGCTTCTAAGAGTTTAAACTTGATACCATTGCAGGGGCTGCAGTCACGCGTCAACAATGTTAACAATTCAATTGAGCTGATCTTGCACCTTTCCGTTCCATCACCTTTCTTCGACCTGCGAACTGAGTTAACTGCAAACCCAATGTCAGAGTGTGTGCCGCTCTGCCGCCCCACTTGGGTGCAGGGTGTGATCCCCGTCACTGGGGCGCTGTCTTCACTCCGGATTACCGTCTAACGGACTCAGCGGTTTACTGCACACGTTGGATTCTCTTAACCGATTCTTGCTTCACCCTTGTATTCCCTGCAACTTACGCCGCCGGGCTCCACGGAATTGCGGCTGAACTTCCACGCCGCCGGGCTTACGGTCATATATATGTGTCACATTCACACACTTCCACGCACCTTGCAACCGAATTCGTACTGTTATCCCACACGCTATCTAGGGTAACAGAAGGAAATGGTACTCGACACACTGGTGTGTCGGTGCCTTTCCTTCTGTTTCTCCTGTCCTAGTTCTAGCTACCCGAGCGGTTCAAGACTAATGTCCCGCTCGCTGACTAGTGCATCTAATTCATGCGGCTAAGTATTCAGTAACTGGCAGGTTTCGTAACTAGTGGGCCTCGTAACTACACCTATTTTTCTCTCTTGCCTTGCGTTTCCCTTTCTGTCTTTTCTTTTTCTTTCTTTCTTTCTTTCTAACGCTTTTTAGGTGGTTAGTAAGTTCCTCGAGAGCGCCGATATGGGCGCTCCCTGTGTGTGTGTCACCCCCTGTCTCAAAGGGTTACTCACGTCCAATTCTGGAACACAAGCAGAGGGGGCAGCAGGGAATCCACAGTTCTGCTGCCAACGAAGACAGCTGTGGACGTTCCGTGAAGCAGATTGGGACGCCAATCTGTGTACCTGCTTCGAACTCACTGACTCCATTGGTTTCCCTTGCCGCTGTTCTTTGTTTCCATGGTTGTTCCCACGCTACTCTCCCCAAAACAGGTTTTCCTCCGCTCTGCAGCCGCTGATCGCTTTCACTTGAGCGTTTTGTGAAACACTTCTTCAACAATACTGTTCTGCTGACTCATGCGCCTTTCCGTTCCTTCACCTTCCTTCTCAGCGTGGGAATTGAGTTAACTGAAAATCAGCGTGTGAATCGCTCAGCCGTCCCACTTGGGTGCTGGGTGTGATCCTCCGCAAGGAGGCGCTGTTCTCTTGCCGGAAATCGTGTCACAGATTCATCGTTTTTTCATCGTGAATTCTCTTAACAGCCTTAGTCTCACCACTGAGATGTCTGAATAAGAAGCCGCCGGGCTTTCACGGAAAACACCTGCTTACTGACACCATAGCCGCCCCCCCCCCCGCCGAGTTCTACCCCCTACCTAATTAGGGTAACAGAGGGAAATGGTACTCGGCACACTTGTGTGTCGGTGCCTTTCCCTCTGTTGTCCCTTTTCTAGTCTTCTCTACCCGGGCGGTTTAAGACTAAAGTCCCGCTCCCCAACTATTGCACGTAATTCGCTTCTGCTAAGTAGTCAGTAACTCTAGAGTGCTAAGTATTCATACACACACATGTACATACACCTCCCTGCCCCACTTTCCTTCTTGCGCTTTTGGTCGTTTCTTGGGCTTTCTCTCAGGCTTTTTAGGTTGCTCTTGAGGCTCGTTTCCCTACCCCAGTCAAGGGCTAAGTATTCACTTTTTTCTACTCCTACCTTTCTCTCTTGCCCTCTTAGCGCTGCTCTTTTTGTGTTTCTTTCTTTTGTTTCTAAGGCTTTTTAGGTACCTATTCAGGTCGTTCGCACGAGCGCCGCAAAGCGGCACCATGTGTGTGTGTCACCCCCTGTCTCAAAGGGTTGCTCACGTCCAATTCTGGAACACGAGCAGGGGGCAGCAGGGATCCACAGTTCTGCTGCCAACGAAGACAGCTGTGGACATTCCGTGAAGCAGATTGGGACGCCAATCTGTGTACCTGCTTCGAACTCACTGACTCCACTGGTTTCCCTTGCCGCTGTTCTTTGTTTCCATGGTTGTTCCCACGCTACTCTCCCCAAAACAGGTTTTCCTCCGTTCTGCAGCCGCTGATCGCTTTCACTTGAGCGTTTTGTGAAACACTTCTTCAACAATACTGTTCTGCTGACTCATGCGCCTTTCCGTTCCTTCACCTTCCTTCTCAGCGTGGGAATTGAGTTAACTGAAAACCAATGTCAGAGTGTGTCACACTCTGTTTCTAAGAGTTTAAACTTGATACCATTGCAGGGGCACTGAGCACTCCTTGGCAAAACTCAGTGCAACGAAGCTATGCCTTGGAGTGGGAAGCACGGACTGATCATCCGTGTGCACCTGCATTTTCAACTGTTGACCACGCTGTCCACTCTTTCGTTTTGCTGCCATGGTTCTTCTCATGATAGACCCCAAAACAGGTTTCCCTCCGCCGTTTTCCACTGTCGTGCAGCTGCAGTCACGCGTCAACAATGTTGAACAATTCAATTGAGCTGATCTTGCACCTTTCCGTTCCATCACCTTTCTTTGACCTGGGAACTGAGTTAACTGCAAACCCGATGTCAGAGTGTGTCTCCCTAAGCAGCTTAAGCAAGCCTATTTTGGGGCACCTTGATCTTGGTCCATCGGCGTCTACTGTACCCTTTACAATTCATTGCCTGCGATGCCACGCCTCCAGACCCCGTCTAACTGACCCCTTCTCGGGGGTCGGGTGGCCGTGGGCGCTAGCCCCCTATAGATCTATCTTGATATAAAAGGATCTGTATAGAAAATATACGTCCGCTTGGGAAGAACACTGTTCACTGGATTGGTCGATGAACGGTGATTATACTATACAGGAAATGGCATGAGCATCAGCTTTGGACATCCATCTTTTTCTTGTACTGACCTCAAATGACATGGCCACGTCAGTATGCCTGGAGATGTTTTCAAAATGATCATGTCATTGGTACGACTTAGCATAAACCTGACCGGTTCAGACAATAGAACCAGCCTACACTGATCATCTCTGATCTGTATATTGACTACATGTCCAAAAGGAGCAACCAGCGCTGCACACCAATCAATGAACCCACAACGACACTGTACACCTCGGCACACAATCTTGTGCTTGCTGCGAGTTCCAAGGGGCTCTTGATCATTCCTGGCACCTTCCACCAGCTCCTTAGCAAGCGCTTGGCAACCAAACGCTTTCCAAAGGCATTCATTGATTGGGCGGCGAATGGCAGACGTATGTGCATAAAACAGTAAGGACGGGGTCAAAACGTAGAATCGTGCAGGTGGTCAAGACAGCTGTGACCCTGGAGGAAATCTATTCTCAACAGGAACACGTCTTCCTATTATTAACTCTTTATCCGTCCATCATCATCCTTCCATCATCTATCATATCTGCCTGTCAATCTATTGACCTATCGATAACGTCTTCTCGGCTAGCTGCCCAAACTCTGAGAGCTTCTGCGGTTCTGGTCCCACATGCCTAACATTGTGGGTCAAAAGTGTCTCAGTAATCTTCATTATATATATAATATATTCTTCAATATATAATATATTCTTCAATGTGCTTCATGTTCATGCCAAAGAATGCCCGCACCACCACACGCATCTTCCCCGCTCCACCACCCGATCTGCGCTCCACCACCCGATGGGCGCCTCGAAGGTGATTTGCCCGGAGCCGTTGAGGTCCATTCGATCGAAGACGCTCTGCAGAAACTTCCGGTCCGCTGCCTCGATCGAAGACGCGCTGCGAGGCAAGCGAGAAAGAAAGGATTGAAGATTGGGGGAGAGCTTGTGGGTACCGAAGAAGGTGGTTTCAAAAAAGTCATAAATGACGATCCGAGGAAAACTATGGTAAACTCGTCTGAACAAGCCCAGTTTGCAGAGGATAGATCTACATAATGACATATGATCTAACTAATGGTCTATATTTATATATAGGGTTGAAGATCGCCAAGTCAAGTCATCTACAGAGCCAGGAAGTCCGCTGCCACCGGTCATCGTTTGGAACTCAGGATTCGGGTCGGCTGGGACATATCCCGTCCATTGAACCGTCCAGCCTGGAATGCAGTTGAACTGAAGAATCAACCTAAAGAAACACTACAGTATCCCTTGCTGCTTGAGCCGAGCCTGTTTGAGGAAGTGTTCCTTTCTCTTTAGACATCGCCAGTGTTGAATACGTTTGCTTGGACAATCACACACACTTGAGAGGAAAGCTCGGAAGTTCAAACATGGTCGCCATCTTTATCGTATCCCATATCCCTCAGTGTTCGTTGGCAGGACCAAGCCAAGGTGGCAGAAAGCGTTCATCATCCATAAGGTGACCGGAAAAGAACAAAACACATTGTCCATAAGCCAAACATCATCCATCCCAGTTTGCAGTGTCGAGTCCACCCACAGCCCCCAAAAGGGTATGGAACAACGTTCAACAACCGGCACACAGTTCAAAACTGTATGACTCCACTATTCCCCCATCCCATGAAATGCTCCCAGTGACATGATCATACTCCAATTCTTCAGCCAGATTCAAAATATCTCGCGATCTGGCTTCCGCAAAAGTGTCCTGAGAACTGAAAGCGAAAGGATGTGGATATGCCGCACGGGCCCCACGGGTATGTAGTTCACCACGGCGAACACTTCGTAGGGTGCTGCAAAAACTTGGTGTGAATGACAAGGATTCTTGACAAATCTTGGCAAATGCGCCTGCCGATAGTAGTTATTTTGGGGTGTGGCCAGTGACACGCATCATGGAACCCCTGTTTCAGGGGGTTCTCCAGTAGACCCAGCTATAACTAAATGTACTTTACCGGTTACAATAGCTTACCACTACCACTGGTCCCACCAAAACCATAGACCAAGAAATGCTTCCACTACCTTTGTTCCTTACACAGTGACATGGGTAAACCAACGGGGGATCTTGGGGATCTCTATTAATCTGTCCGAACCAACTCTCTTGAAAAGGAATGCACGGATTCCTTATGGTCATTGGTTGGTCTGTCGACCTCGGCCGAGCGTCCACCACTACGGCGACGATGAGGTTGAGGACGCCAAAGACCTGGTCTGAGCATGTCTGAGCAGCTGGTTGTTGGCAAGAAGTTCCAGAAGGACTCTGAATCTGACTCTGAGCCCCTGGGCCTTGCTGGAGACACAAAAACAAACACATGCTTGTTGTGCGTGAATATGCGTGAATGTGATACAAAGCGATATACTGTGTATATATATATATGTTGTTAAATTATATATCACTATAATTTATGTATAACTTATTGGTTGCTTCACTTCAGACTTCAGGCCACAAAGAGTTGAATATTTGAACATATTGAAAAGCTGCTTTGTTCCCTGCTGTTCCAAGGAAGCGGCCAACGTCAGGAGGCTGCCGACAAAAATAATGGCCGTCTCAGGGTGAGCTTTGATCACAGGCACGGCCAACTTGCCCCAGCTGTCGCCTGCAATGACCTGGTCTGACACGACTTGGGCAATGCCCTGGCGAACGTACCACCAAGCCAGTGACAGTGGGAGGCTCCAGTGTTTCAATCTTCTGCTTCTGGTGCGAAGGCTGGTGTAACATTTCTCTTGGTACTTGGTGAGAGTCTTAGTCTTCGCTATCACCCTGAGTCAAGTTAAACTTGTTGTTTTGGGCTAAATGGCCATATGTTTGCCTATTTGCGCGCTACACCTCTTGTTCTTGCTAAGGGATTCGTAGGCGGTCTGAGGAATAAAAGCCCTGGCTGTCTAATGAGTCTAACGGGCCCAGCATCCAATCCCCTTTAGGCCGCTAAAGGACAAAATAGCACATGGATTCTGCCATACTGGGCCATATTCTTATTCTGCATTTTATTGCAGCTCAACAAACCAAACGTAGCAAACGTAGCAAACCTCTGAACCCCATTGTCCAGTAGGGAAACAGAGCAAAACCCACCAATTGCGGGCTGTGGAAGACCGTCGCATCCCAGCTTGCCGCTCTGCAGATCCCTCGACCAGTTTTCACCCGGCCCAACTCCGCCGTGTGGCCGTTTGGAAAAGGAGCAAGTTCGCTGCCATCACTGACCCCGTCGAGGTCATACATTCCGGGCAGTTCTGCGTGGAACTTCCACGGCACGCGTGTGGGTGGGTAAACCATCAACGATGGGGATGATGTTGCTGACGCCACTCGTTTATTTCGCAGTAAGTGGAATTTGGCAGTGAGGATGTTGGTCATAGGACAGGGCTGGGACAGCCCAATCTGGCTAATTCCAACCAACCATGAATTGAATATAATATAGTCATCGACTCTCCGAAAACATCAAACGGTCATAGAAATCTCCAAACGATCGCATTTGAAAACAGAGTTCTGGACCTCGCATTCATCGGTGAACATGTGGCCATCGCTCAGACAGGTAGAGTGGGGTTCAGTTTTTGAGCCTGACGAGCGAGCACAATTCCGGGAAACCGTGTGACTCGCACCTGAAAGGCATCGCTCTTCATCTCGTGAATCAAAGGATTCACCACCTGCCAGTTGATGGCTGGGGTCTAGCCAGCCATTTTCCATATGGCACCATGGCACTTAGTTGCCAACAAGTCAATATAACATCCGATGTGCATGGCACTATGGCAGCGGGATACCAACAACTCCTTTCTCGGAAGTTCTGACAACATCATCGGCTCTCACGGCTGACATCATCCAGCCTCAACCATAAACATCGCCCAAATGCCTCGGTCATGTTGGCTGTGGACGAGGAGGACATCTAAGAGAAAGGTGGCGATCCACAAAAAGGAGCCACAAACATCAACTCTATACGAAATAGATCTTAGAGTCTTTGGAGCTACGTCCTCGGGATGGTTGTGCATCCTGTACAGTTGAACAAGGCTCTCCGGGATCATGTCTGCGGAAGCATTGGGTAGGGACAAAGTTGTAGTTCTGCCCGATAAAAACCATAAGTCAATCCGCTGACCACCGCCCTGAAGCCGGATGCAATATGCACCTTCCCAGCTTTCGACTTTTACTAGAGCAGTAGCAAGCGAATGACATGCTGTTCAGCTCCATTTCGAGGTCATGCTTTCAGATCTATGCTTGGGGCGGATGAATGGGATATACAGCAATGGAGAAGTCCGTACTCAATTTAGGAATTGCAATGTTCCTGCTGATCAGGCGATGTCGTTTTATCGAGGTTGTTTCCAATCCCCACAAACGCTTTGTTTATCATTGCTCCAAAAATTCTATACTACATAGGCCAGGAGAATAAACACATCCGCAGAAAGAAACACCAACTCAAGTATCTCAGCAAGTCTAAGTCTTTAGACTTTTCTGCGAGATCCGATTTCCGCTTTGGCGTTCGCCCTTCGCACTTCGCCCCAAATACGGCCAAACTTGCCGGTTGCCCCCAACTGTGCCAAGGTGCTCATCACCAAAAAGCAAAAGACGAAAGACCAAAAGAGCGCCTTCAAGCCTTGGATCGGGCCACTCTGCCCAGTCGGGAGGGGAAGGACGGGCTCCAGCCGAAGGAAGGGAAGATTAAGATGAACTGATCTTGGGAGTGTCACTCCTGCAGTGGAGGGTGTTACGGTGTGGATGCGAGGGTATTCCATGGGTTCTGTATATCATGTTGGTTGGGCCCCCCACAAATCAAGTCTTGTGGTCTGATCCTGGGAGTGGTGTCAAAGAGTTTTTCTACGGTGTATCACAGGTCGGACGTCTGCCGTGCCAGTCGTCAGTGGATTCCTTCTACGCCCCATCACCAGGCATCGACCCCCATCGTCGACCCGTGGCGAGCGACAGGTGGACATCATCGTCACCAGCTTCTGAAGCTCACGGAGGGCGCGCATCTTCCGCAGCACGCGCATCAAACGGATCTCGGACGAACCGGCGCGGGTGGTGGATCGATGTGTCTGGCCTCAACATGCCTGGTTGTCGGCAAGGGAATAGCCATATAATCGCTAGCACATATTGAAATCATATATTCTAAAGTTCTGGCGATTGCTCCGACTCCATTTCAGCAGATCTAAAACCTGACCAGGAGAGCAACCTTCCATGCCCGACCCCCTCAACAGCTGGCAGCCCCAAAACACTGCCTGGATCCAATCTCTGACAGATGAAACCTGACTGAGAAATGGTCCCTTGTTTCCAATTAATTAACATAATGACAGGACATAATGTTGAACAAGAAATAAGAACACATAACACAGCAACTACAGGGGGAGCCCATCATTAAGATGCATCCATTTTCCGCGACCTCCATCATAGCGTCGCCAAACCTGATTGCACCACCCTCCCAACATTCACCTCACCGTCAGCAGCGTCTCCTCAGTGCCAAGCCACGATGCGGGCCAGGCGGAAGGCGCGGAAGATGCCCAAACGGAGCACGAAGTCGCGTTGAGCAATGAGGTTCAACATCAAATCCTGAGAGAATGGGAGCTGGCTTGAAAGATTGGAAACCTCAAAAACATTTTCGTTTTTAATGGTGAGTTCCCTGTAAAAAGCCATAGCAAAGAAGTCCGCAGTGGAAGGACCCAGGCAAGAATGAAAAAAACACTTTTGTTGGGAGAAATGAACTTGCCCCACCGGCTCCATGGGATTGCCGCGACACTTGTTTCATCTACCAGTACTAAACTAGGGCCTAGGGCAAATGTATACAAGCCACATATCCTCAGCCCTCACTTGATGAAGATAGAAACTGGCTGCAGCCTCCCTGGCTTGAGGAACATAATCTGATCTGCACCCACTCTGATACTTTCCGTGGCTTCCGGTTGGAGTTCAGAAACCCAATCTAAAGCCCTCTGGTCTCGGCCCAGGCTTCGGTATTAGGGGATTGAATCCGATGTGCCCAAACCACATCAGTCACCCAGTGTTACCAGGTGAGGGGGAGAGGCCAAAGTCAAAGCACAACAATACCAACACATACCAACACCGTTTGGAGGTTGTCTATGTTTTGAGATACACAAACGACTCACAAAAGTTACAGGTAGTAATAACAACAAAAATAATGCATATATATATATATAATACGTTTTAGCAGCACAATGTTTAAAGACATAACTGCGGATCCTCAAGAGAACTCCTGGCTTGTCCCTCAACTTTGTCTTGGTTCTTGCAAGTGTAGCTGCGGGTGCATTGTGCACCGGAAACTAGTGTGGCTGAACGACCTGATGTGTGCTGAACCTTCCATGAGACTCTTCCACAAACATAAGAATGAATGGTGAATCCATTTGCAAAGTGATGTTTAGAGATGTAGGACTTGCAGTGTGCCTCTGCTTGCAATAAACGACCATAAACGGCGTAACAAAAAATCAACATGTTGGTCCTAGCTACCACCTCTGCGACAATGATGTGGCATCCAATGACCAATTGCTACAGTCTTTAATTCAGGGCTGCGCAAAAAAATGCATGTTCTGCAATTAATATCAAACCGTACAACAAATGTCGGACAAATAGACCAACCATATGGCCCATAATGGCCCATGATTTGCACCACTGGCATTGTTTTTCAGGATGGCTGAAATCAAAAGGATCGGAAGGAGGGAGGGATCCTGAAGATTGCTGGCAAATCCTAAAAACTTCCCAAGTTCCTAACCACCGCTGTGTCGTAGGGTTCTTGCAATTTGGTATAAGTATAAGGCGAAATCAGGATCTTGCCAAACTGCAAAATCTATACAACCATCACATGCTTGCAATGCAGGCCGAATTGGATCTGTTCCGCTTTTGCCCGAAATCGGATCGCATTTTATTGGATGGATCTGTTATCCCTTCCATTGACAGCAAGCCGCTATGTAGCCACAAAGGATGATCGCCATCTTAGTCGTTGCTGGTAGCGGTCGCGAAGTCGCCCACGTGAGGTCGCACCGGATCAGCTTTTCCCAGGTATTAAAACAGCCAAATCTTCCGGAAGAAAAGGCTGCACAGGTCGTGAGGCTGCACAGGATGATTATTATCATTCGACATCTGCTGAAATATTCATCATGTGGATGCCGATCTGTTTCATATACTGCAGACTAGTTCATGCCTTCCCGGGGATGTGGGAACCCCACTGGTTCGTGGCTGACTGTTCCAGGGACGAACCAAACTGAGCCGAAAGGTGGCCCCGTGGAAAATAAAGAGAAACAAGTCTTGCCTAACTTGGTTTGCAAGCTTGAATTTATGCGTGCATGCAAACACTATGTCACAATTCAAATCCGTGCACCGAACATACTGTATATTGACATGTATTGCGGTACCATGCACATTATGGGACTTTGTGGTCACATGTGGTCACTTTCCGTGGCAGGGCAGGAGAATCCCATGGTTTGGTCGATGTTAAGTTGCCTTTTAAAGGCCGGTGCAGGGAATGAGAACTGTTGTACTACCTCGATGTGCAAATTTTGTGGTGGGCGGTGGGCGCAAAACCTTGGATTTGGCCGTGGTCTTTGGCGGCAAGTCAGAAACGGTCCATGCACGAAGAAAAGCACCTGTGTTTTTGCCTCATCTTTCGACAGGATAGTGCGTGAAAGGGACCATATAATACTATATACGCTATATATAGCCCTAGCCCCCTTCACATCTGCCCCCCAAAAAGGTGCCACCCGCAGCTGGGCCACATCCAAAAGGACCATCCAGTCTTTCAAGAGCTTCCATCCTGGAAGTTTGAGGGCGAACATCTCTACAATGTTGAGTTTAACTGGTAGCAAGAAATTGAAGTGAATTGAAGTGAAGCTTCACTTGGTCCACCTGGGACGGGTTATTTCAGGACTCAATTGCCAGCAAAACTTGCGAACAAATCACAGAATGAGCCAATATAATCCAAAGACATCCAAAGACCATGTTGGAAGAAGTGCTGACCTTTTGGGTTCATGGATCGGGAAGGACTCGGGAGGATTTGGCCAGTGATTTGGTCTCTCACCTATGCTACGAACCGAATCCCTCAAAGCATCTCCCAACACACAACGGATCCAGCCTACCAACAGAATTGGCAGTCCCTTTCACCCAGAAGCGGTCCTTGCACCCAGAAGTTCAATGCCAACTCCAGGGTGTACATCAGCAAACCTCGTGAGTCTTGTTTTTTCTTGCGGTGATCTCGATTCTCATCGTAGAGATCCGCAGCGCGCGCCGAGTTTCGGTTGTCTGAGTCGTCTTGGTGATGCTCGGTGATTCGTGGGTGGCTGGGAAGTATTCCAAGTCAGTGGTGTTTCGTTTGGGATTACCAGTCGCAGCGAGGGAAACCAAAGAATCGAACTTAGGATGTTACTGGATGTTATTTGGAGAGAACCCAAAGCATATATCACTCAATCTGTGTCCGTCGCAGCTCTGAAGCTTCGCACACGACGAAACAAAGAATGTGATAAAGAATCAGCATATGTATATATATATATATATCATTATATATGTATATACATTATATAATATGTAGATTCCTCGAAGGAAGTTCCTCTTACAAGCCTACGATTATGCTCAGTGGATACAGGAATCCCACTGCAAAACCTGGCTTCCGGGCAGCTAGGATTCTGAAACCGGTATTTCTTGCGGCTCTGAATTTTGAGCTCCAATGCTTCCCCGCTGGACGCTTCTCAGATCATGGCTTTTTTGAGTCCATCAGGGATACGGATACGGTTCAGCCTCCGACAAACGCCGCATTCCAGGAGACCTTCGTTGAAGTACTTGGTATTTGCTGGATTAATTCGTTCAGCTGCGCCTCGAAGATTTGCCCCAAACGATTCCCTCCTGCACATTGCTTGAAAGACTACTAGCCAACTTCCAACAGCATGCATGCGACCGGAGATTCACATTTAGAGTTTAGAACCTTTCTAGTTCTGGTTGAATTGATTGTCACCACATTGTTCTGTACAGTTCAGAGGGGCCTCCACTATGAGCACAAGCAGCGCCCCGTGACCCAGCACAGCACTTTGACCAAAGAACAAACATCGGCCAAGACCATGAGCATCTGCGGCGCATCTGACGGTGTCGGAGAAAAGTATGAGGCGCGAGCGTCGATGTCCCGGCAGGTGCAGTAAGCGTCGAAGAGCACCACGAAAACCATGAAGTTCGAGAAGGCTTTGCTCTTCTGAAAACCTCGTGCTCGGTGCGTGCATGGATTACTCGTACAAATTCTTACAAATACTTACAAGAAGCACGCATGTTGTGCTTGTTGTGTGGGAACTGGACAGTGAGGGCAAGGTGCTGGTTTATAGCACCGTTCATAAGCCCAACTGGCGCAAAGTTTGAAGCCCGAATGAAGGGTGGGTGGTTAGAGAATTGAGATTGCTTGGCGACATGCCATGGGAAATGGTATATTGCTGCATAATATATATATATATTATATTATTTATGGTGTATAAATTAATACCAGGATCTTCAAAGAGACCTTTTGAGATTGGATGAAGTCACTTAGAGAGTGCAAAAAGGTCACTTTAAAGAAGTCCTGGTATAATATGAAAATTGATATATAAATCTATTTGGTTAAAGTTAAATTCAATGTTGTTCAGCTGCTCCCTTCAAGGCACGAAAGGCACAGGGCTCGGGACAGGGGCAACCACCACTGGGTGGGATCCATAAATCATTTTGTTGCATCAACAACCAGAGAGAACAGTTGGAATGCATAGTGCTGTCATCCTGTAAAGCAAATAGCCTATCCATGAACGTCCCACAAAAAAATACTAATCTGAAAATAATCATGCTGAATTCCCAATTTGCCGAAGCGAGTGCCTTGGCATGAACTCTGGGGAAAGGCTGGATGCAGGAGTTTGCAGGCTGCATGCATGAAGGAGGGCGAACGTACAGGTGTTTTTTCCAATTGAAAATGGGACGAACGTCGGGTGTTACTGTAAGTCCCGCTTGCCAGAATGAATGTGAATGGAATCCATCCTATTTCATTCAGCCGAATGCTATATACTTGCCAACAAAATGAGCTCCATCCACAGCCCCCGCCCCCGCCAAGCCAGAGCACCAACTTCTAAAAGACTCCAAACAGGTCAGGGCCTGAGAAGAACTTGCAAGAACGCCAACATGTCAGACACAATGGTCCCAGGGTTCCTGAGTTTCCAAAAAGGTGCCCTTCATCCTCATCCCGTACAGTTTGAGCTCCGCCATCTGGTCGAGTCACGCTTGACAGATTTCTTCAATCGACTTGTGTAACTCTCGCGATCAGTATCCACCTGAGCAGTAACAAAAGCCTGGCAAAAGGCTGAGGATGTCTTCGCGTCTTGAAGTGTTAGCACAACATTGGTGCTTTCAACCAGGGGAAATTGGGTCTATCGAGGGCTGTCTATAGAGGGCCTCGTAAACAGAGTGGATGAGAGCTTTTGACAAAGTGTTCAGTCATGTCAACCAGTAACACGAGTCGAGTCTACTTCTGATGGGCCAGTCGGTCCCAAATCACGTCGGCCAGTCCCCATGGGATGACTGCTTCGGGCACCATAGCCAGAAAGGATATAGCATGATATAGCATAAAATGACTGAAAGGACCTGACCAACTCTAACATCTGCTGAATCAAAGGTTGCAGCATGTTGGGGTCAGCTTCGTCCGTGTTACTACTATTTGGTGACGTGTCATTCGCGGGACTACTTGGGTATTCTTGGGCGTTGCGATGTAAAGCTGCAACGAGAGCACGTTGAAGGCCTCCCAGCTTGGTGGTTCAGCCAACATCCAGGGTTGGACTCAATGCTCGAGGCTGTGAGAATACATAGAGAAGCTGTGCAAGACACTTGTCCGCCAGCTCAAATGTACAGTGAGCTGTCATGGCTCAGTTGGGAACAAGACTGAGATCTGGCATGTAGAGAAAAGGTGCCTTCAGATGCAGATCATGGAGCAGGTGGGATCCGGGGACTGGACTGAATGGTCTTCAAAAGGCACTCAACTTATCGTCTTGGAATAGTGACTAGTGAATTCCAAGACGATAAGTTGAGTGTCCGGAAACCCACGAAACCCCGTAAAACGCAGGGTGTTCTGACCCTCTGCATGTTGCAGCGGGGGCAAACCCACCCGTTTACCCAACATGTTGCAACCTACAATGGTTTGTTGGTCGATTTGGAACAGCTCGGCAACCCCAAACTTGCGGTGCCCACAACGCCAACCTTCACCCCAGGCTGCCATCCATAGGCGAATTGAGCACTCTAACTTGCCTCCAAGCACCGGGTCTGTGACCAATAGAACGACTCCAGCCCTTCCGCTTCATGGTAACCGTCCTTTCGAACTACCCCTCTTCGCTCAACTTGTGTACCCAAACCAGACAGCATAACTCAAACCGTATCTAGATCTCTTCACTCGATGTTCAGGTACAGCCCTTAGGTGTCCGCCAATGGCGTGAATTGAAGATTCAACCGACAGAAAGCGACACTGAACAGGACAAAAACAAATATGCTTTCACCAAGCGACCTCAAAGCCCTGGGTAGACTTGGCCTTGATGAAGTTCCCGCTCAAGCCGCTCTTGGGGTCCACAACGGTCTTCCTGGATGAGCGACGGAAGCACACAGCTTTGGAGGAGCAACATCGAGCGACATCACTTTGCACACCGATGGGTGCCCACCAAAGAGGGACATCATGGGGCCCCTCCTTGACAAAATGACATCTCTCCTGGATGAGAAGATTCGTTGATTCCCATCTTGAGCTTCCTTGGAAATAGAGGGTCCTAACGACTTTTTCTGAAATGTTCTGCTGTTCAGAAACTCAACGCACTGGCACACACTACTTCAATCAAGGATTTGCTTAGGCTATACCCACCAAATGGGCAAGCATATTTTTAAAATATATGTGTTCCCCTTATTTTGAATACAAGAATAATATTCAACAGTATGCGAGGGGTATGCAGAACAGACTTCAGGGCCAGGCCCGCACCTCACCACTGCTTCCAACAACACACGCACATGGCCTATTACATTTGCCGCGATCGAAGCCGTACTTGCCGCAAACGCATTCGCATTGAGTCGGATGGTTTCGGAGTGGAAACTTCTTCGGATTGGTGCCGCCGGTCCTATGTCCTACTTAGTAGCGATGCCCTTTGCTACTAGCAGCTTCATGTTCCTAGTAGTAAGGCCAGGAGCTACTAGTAGCGTCCTTGCTCCTAGTAGCCGCCGGTCCTGCTTGAGGAATGAGAAATGGAACGTCGCTCTGAAAAGGCCGAGAGCTTCTTGCCTTCGCTCCTTCTTTCGGTCCCAACCCGGATGGCATGGCACGCGAACACATGGGACAACGACTGTTAACGCGTTTGGACCAAACAGGGGGGAGAACTTCCCAGTGAAAGGTGATTGGTAGAACCGTGCTATCATCCATAGTCCATATTTGCCATCGAAAAGCAACCCTTTCAAAGGCGCTGCTAGCTTTGGGATCCGATTCTTTGGTCCATGAGCAACCTCCATCGACTTCAGAACCGTCCACCCTCATCACAAAAAGCAACATGGCAATTGTTGGGGTTGGAGAGCAACACGTTTCAGGCTTGAGCAGGGGAATCTTCACTTCTTTTTGTGACATGACTGGCCGGTCAAGAGTTCAAGCTCTTTGCTGAATGCATAAAACATTCAGATCAAACATCATTCTTTGGTGAAGGACGGGTGAATAGTCAAGTCCTTACAAACCAAAGCCATGACTTGTCAAAGAACGCGTGCATGATCTTCCAAACCCTACAAATTAGGCATGTTGCTACAATAGTTACAGGAGGCGGCAATCTGGATCGTTAAAACATGGTCTCCAAATGCGTATATATATAATAAAGTATGTCTCCAAATGAAAGTACAGTACTGATGCATCAGTACAGTACCTTACCAGCTTCGGTTTAAGTTAGGGGCTCCAAATGGAGATAACTTTTGATGCGGCTGCCTCTCCATGAAATGAGCCCCCCAATACTCTTCAACCATCAACAAAGGCAACCAAGTAATCTCGAGCAAGCCCACTAGCTGCTAGCTCGAATCACCACCTCATTTCTATGCCGACCCCAGAAATGGTTCCTGAACATCAGGCAGGTTCTGCACCCAGTCGCCAATGATTCTCTGTAGCAAACTGCGCACCCCAGAACAGGTTAGATGATCTGATTAACATTGGATTCTCTGCCTCTTATATTGATGTTTCTCTCTGGATTGAACAAACTCAATGTTCCACGAGTACGATTTCGAGATTTGATCACGTGATCCGTTCAAGTCAGCAACAAACTTGCACCAGCCTTCATGATACAATCAGTAGATGGACTAGGATATCAGATGGTGAATGGCGAGGTTCCAAAATGCAAACCTTTTTGTTCAACCCCACTTCTTTGCCCAGATTCTTCCCCGGCCCTACTCTGGAACTGGCGAGTCAATTTCACGGATCTTGACGTGTAAATGGTGCCAAGAATAAGCGAGCATCGACCTTGAAATCGAAGCCTGGGTTTCATGATGTTTCATGTATCTCTCCACTAAGAAGCAGCTGTGAGATGAAGGCTATGTTGGTCTGTTAGTCACAACCCCTCCACAATTCCGGTGTGGGTCATGGCTGAAATATCATGAACACCATCGGACAGGAACACAACTGCTAGGATTTTCGGTCTTTGAGTCTTTGAGTCTTAATTTCCACATGTGGTGGTTTATGATTCTCCAAGACCAAGTACATCACACTACACATGGTTTTCTCGGGCCCCGCCAGGCCTTCCCACTTCTTCGCTTAAGCCCAGGGAGTAGGAGACCTCGTGCCTGGTGACACTCGGACTCCGTGGTCGGCTTCAGTGCTCTGTGCAAGAAGCGGCCGAGAAGTCAAAATCGAGGAGAATCGATGAAAATACAGGTAACACACACACACACACTTACCATAGCCATGAGAACACTAGAAAGTGGGAAGCATGGTGGATAGTCTCGAAAAAGTGTGCGTGTGTCAAGCCATGTAACATATACCTATGGGGGCAGCTGGGGATTGCTGCAGTCAGCGGCCAGCGAAGACCCTGCACATTTCCTGTGCAAACGCACCTGCTTGTCTCGCTGCATTTCAACGTTTCACTCTCTCTCCCTCTCTCATTCTTTATTCATGGTTTTCTCTTTAGAGTTTACGCTGTTCTCCTGCCGTGTTTTGCTGTAAACGGCTAATGCAGTCAAATGCAGTCAAGGGCTAATGCACAACTGACATACGTTGAGCTATGCTCTTACGAGCACCCTTCTAAGTGTGTGATTTGCTGATCCCCGAAAATTATCCAAATATCAAGTATCCGTTTGCATCCCTTGTATTCGCTATATATATACACACTATATAACTATATATATATACTATATACATATGTTGTAAGCTGTTCGCATGTACTCTAAAGCTCGAGCAACATCGGCCATGGATTGCCTGGTGCTTATACTCTCGCCCTCCGACTGGATCGGTGGAAGTGGCCCCAAAGGCATGGCACGGCCACGATGAGCTCCTGCGAGTCGAGAGACTCTGAGCACGAACTGAAGCGGGCTGAATGCAGGGCGCTCCATACAACTTAAACAGGGAATCGCCATGAAAGCATGCTAAAACGTTAACTTTAAAACAAATGGCTACAGCATCCACCCACAAACATCCCAAGACAATGTAAAACAAACAACAGGACAGGACAAATATGGACACATGAGAACTATAATATATATATATATATATTAGATATGCATGCATAGAGTTCTTTGATTGATTCCCCCAACGCGAGCTGATCATGGTTTTGTTGCTCCCTCAAAACAGAGGCGTCGGCCTCGTCAGCAGGGGGGGGTCCATGGGCGTCTGACGTCGAAGAACCAACGACCACTCCAACAAAGGAGGCTGTCGTATGAACGTTGTGTGTGTCTGTTTGTTTGGTCTTGGGAAGAATATATTATTCAAGACAGGTGTCTGCAAGGAGAGGAGAGAAACACTTTGTATAATTGAACGATACATACAATATCCATATCAAAACCTGGAGATTCTACCTGCGCAAGCACCTCCTTACTACATCTCGATCGCCCACTGCCGGCCTTCTCAGGGCCGTGCTTCCCGAGTCTGGGTGGACGCCCCAACCCGCACGTTGGCCGGCACGGCGGCGCGGATAAGGCCGGGAAACTGCTGCGGAGCTGCATCGGAGGTTGGGTTGACACTGAGGCATGGATCCAGAAGTCAGTTGCACCACCCCACATTCAGATTCAAGCTCTGCTGAACACTTGGAGGGGGGGTATGCAGAATGGTGGGAGTCCAGCTTATGAGGATCCAAAGAGCTCCGGACTCCTGACATGGATGAATGAACTCTCACAGAACCACGTCGCATTACGTTCAGCCAAGTTCTCCCAGGATCAAGAATGTACTGATAAGAGCTATCCAATCCCTCTACAACGACGGGGCCAGGATCTGCAGGTCAGCAAGCAGTAATACACACCCCACACTACCCCCAACTAATAAGAGCCAAAGAAATTGCACCCGACCCCTAAGTGCGTGGACACTGGATGAAACTGGTGACAAGTGAGTCTAGGCCCAACAGCTCTGGTGTTTCACAGATTGAAGAGTTCTGGACCCGGCTTTGACCCTTCATTCACTCCCACATTGTTTTCACGGCGGCAAAGGGCTAACACAATATCTTAGCTGCATTTAGGATCTTGGTGTTCAAGGGGAGTTCGCCATCAATATCTATCAACCTGTTGCTCTCTTGCTGCTCACCCGGCTCAATCGCTGAGTTCCTGCTATATTCTTGGTTGCCTACTTACTGGAGGTGTTGGAAATCTTTGGGAGGCCTTCAACGAGCTCAATGAGCTCTGCAAGGTCCAGACATCTGGGCCAAGTTTTGGCTGAGGTTCTATGACCCAAAGTCACCCAACAGCTCGACATCAAACTGATTTTCACACAGTGCCTTTCATCATCTTCTCCCATTGCTCGAAACTGGATCCATGCTTTTTTTTGGCTGTTCTTCACTCATGCTCAGATGCTCGGAACTCCATCTTTGGTGGGGTCACAAAGGACGTTCACCTCGCACCCTATCGACCGAGTCAACGCGTCGACCGGTACGTCGATCCATCTTTGATCCTCGCACGGCGAGCGAACGTGGCAAGTGGCGTAGAACACGTTCGATGAGTTCGGCGGTAACATCGCCGGAATATGCTGCTCTGAGCATGCAGAAGATATACTCGGAACTGCTCACAATGATAGTTGTTCATCAGTCTTGATCACACTTTGGGCACGATGCCAGTTCAAGAAATGATGCCCTTACCTCAGTCTCCTGTGGTTCAGAGGCCAAACACCGAACAACTTGCGCAGCCTTGGGCTGGCTCTGCCCGGTGCAACTGGAAAGCTTCAATAGAGATGGGCGCACAGCTTTGCAAGAAGGTCGTTTCTCCAAGGTTCCCACCATGATGATCCACAATGCAAGTTTACTTGGAAGATGATATGTTCATTTACTTGTTCAGTTCATCGAGTGCCTGCCTGTGTTGACGCGCATAACAAGCAAGCGGTGCAGGGTCCTCTCAAACATACATACCGACAGCCTTGTCCATTGTGAGGAAAGTATTCCCATGCTGACATGCCCAAACTGAAAGCTCCGCTCGTCACGAACCCATCTCTTCGAAGCCGACATCACGGTGACCACTGGGTCTGCTTGGAAAATGGGTTTTGAACTTGATGGGCCCATCTGGTCACACCATGAGGCGACAGCCCAAATGTCTGCACCTGAACTTATCTGAACTTATTCTGCAAGGATTGACTAGCCCACTTAAGTCTCCTGAGCCTTCGTGACATCATCCTTGTTTTCAGGAACCAACAAGCCTTTGGGCCATAGACAACTGGTGGTATTGTATCCATGGAGCCTTGTGCTTGTCCACCCAGCTTGTATATATATATATATATTTCGTATGTATTTATTTATTTACTCATGTATTTAGTATAAATATATGTCTTGCCAGTGTCTACCCAATGCTATTGGCACTGGCTTCGGTTCAAACCACAAGATCCATCCTGGCAACATTGAAAAGTTCAACCCCCATGACAACCAATGCGATCCAACCAATGGACGTCATGGCTTTGACCCAGGGATGATCACGACTGGCCCTTGACATCACATGACGTGTTCATGTTTCCTCTTCAAAACAACGCCTCGAGGTGTTGCTAGCTGATGAAGTTCAGGATGGGCAAGTGAACCTCGTTAGGGGCTAGAATATGCAATCATTCATCCGACACTGCACCCACACTATCCGAGCGCCCCTGGTTGTTTGCACTAAAGAAACATGCGCGGAAGCACACTGGAGTCAAATCGCTTTCCAGGTGCGCGCGAAGGTAGACCTATATACACCATGGAATTTAATGAAGAAGGCTCAAGCTTCTCTCTCCATCTGCAACTGAAGAGATGTTGTCAGCAAAACGCACCCCAACAAAAATGCCAGTTACAGTAGTTACCACTAAGTGAGTGATCTGGATGCCTGCATATGCCTGCATCAAGGTTTTGGTCTCCTCCAGCGAGCGGGTGTGACATCTGAGTTGGGAAATGGCAATCCTCTCAGAGCTCCATAGCAGCTGGTGAGGGCCAATCAGTGATTGCTTTGAAACAGCTCTTTGGTTTACCACCCGCCTACAGTAGTGTTTCTTTGTCCAGCAGCTAGATCGCCAAAGGTCTGGCATTTGAACCATTGACGGTTTGTTGATAGGGAACATTTGGGACACTGAGGACAAGTCTCCACCAATTCACACTGGCCTTTGTGTGACACTCGGGTACATCCGAGGTACCCAGGACGCTGCGAGAACTGTGGTATCTTAGGCTCAGAACTGTGCTGGAGAAGGGATGTTGTGTGTATGGTTGACATATAGACGTATACATATACATATATATATATATAGATACTGTATTACCAAGCACGAGACAAGTGATGTTACAAGGGGACAACCATCAAAGTCAATGCTTCCAACCACAGTGATTTTGAGAAGATGTATTGAAATCAACAGTATCAGTATCAGTATCAATATAAAATTTTCCTTCTGCATATGTATATAGAGGTGTATATATATAATATAGATTTATGATATATCTATATGTATACAGTATATAAACCACGCAGGGACTTCTTGAATAGGCCACAATGAACAAGCGACCCGTGGACTGGGGCTAACTTCGGATGTAGCTCACTTCGGAACTTGGACGGTCGGATGTGAAGCTCGGAATGGCGATCTGGACGATCCTGAATCCTCAATTCAGCAACATTAGTTGTATACATAGTTATTATGTTCTGGACGATACATTATACAGTACTTACATAGTTATATATACCACGGACGGCAAAACATCAGCAGCGACAGGACAAGACAGGCTGCAGTATGCCAGGAAAAGGACGAGAGGGACACAGGCAAACATTTGAGAAAACCATCCCAAGGACAAGCGGAAAGCCAAATATTGACATGGGAACCTAATCACTTGAAAAAAAAAAGTGCCGATTCATTGTTGAACGGGTGCCTTTCTCAGATGTAAAACTCTGTGTTGGTATCTCTCAGTTGCTGGTGAGTCGGCCTAGCCTGCACTGGTCGTGTTCAGAAACTTTGGGAGCGTCGTGTTCTCAGTGTCTTCACTTTGGATGAAACTGATGCGACCTGGCGCTGGTTCACAAAAACAAAATCAATAAAAAACAGCAGCGACGGACAAAAGAAAACGAACAATCGAATGCGCCGTGGCGTGGCACCTGAAGGTGTTGAATCAGAGTCAGTCGATACATGGCTCCTAAAGTTCTAAAGCTAGAACAGAAAAGCAGCAGATTCAAACATCGCGTGCCTCTTATGTGGTTGCTTGATCTGCGGAGTGTCCTCACTTTATATATTTAAACAAAATATCACAAAACATCTATGTGCACACAGATTTGGGAACTGATCAGGATCCAAAAACACCAAGACCCACAAGCATTCGACGCACGATTCACCATGGCTTACCATGGCGGTGCAGGGTATCAAGTGGGAGCACATTCATTTAGTTTTCTGGTGTTTCCCACCTGCCATCTCTTTATTAATGGCGATGTGTTTCGCTTCCACAACATGCCTTCGCCGGGTGCTCCAGGAACTCTTGTTCTGTGACATCACGATCTGACTACAAATTCCTCCACTGGTACACACGCCGGTCCAGTGTGGGATTCACTCACTGAAGCCCTTCTTTTTCTTATCTCTTGAATTGCTTCTGCATGAAGCGCTTCAGCGCTCCCCGAACGCCTCGATACACCGTGTTCCTGCAATCTTGGTCAACTTTGGGCAAAGAGCTCGGCGAAGCTGCAACGCATACTGCTCTTCGCAAAAGTCCTCCCTATCGATCTCCTGAATTGACTCCACTGGCGGGAGACTTGTACGAAAGCTGGAGATGAGTATGTCTTTCTGTGTTTGTGTGTCTCTGAGTCTGTGTCTCTATACATCCCGGATTTTCCAACAACACAAAAACATCTGGTCGTGTTGGTCATTGACCCGCTTATAAAACCAAAACGGCCAGACGTTTAAAAACGTGTCGGAATTAGCCCCACGCCCCCCTCAAACCCCCTCACCAAAAAAATATACTGGAACGGCTGGAACAGCTCACGGCTGTTTTTGACATGTTTTGACATGTCCGCCACAGGCGCCTGAAGACGTTTGTATGCTTCCTTGAATACTCGTAAATCCCAAGTGAATCTCCGTGTCATCCTTGTCAACTAAGAAGAATGGTCAGGAATACCCGTGTCACTCATGACCAAGCTGCGCAGGTTTGCCATCCTTTGCTTGAAGTTCTTGAAGCAAGTGCAGGGAGCATGAAGATGGACCATGAAAATGGACCGGCAAACCCATGTTCCTCAGCCCGTTGTGACATCAGGTCCCATCCGCCGAACGCGCCTGTGCGGACGGTTTGGACAGTTCCTGTCGCGTGGAAGGGTGAATAAGCCTTACAAAATTGAGGAAGTTCAACACGTCAAGAAACTTCTTGGAAAAGGGTGACCCTTGTAATGGTTTTGCGAAAGAGTCCGTTATTCCAAACACCAATTCCCCTGAGGCCGAAGGAAAATGTAAAAAAACATGTTGCTGAATGAGGTGTGTGTATACATATATAGAGATATTAACATGCAGACAGTAGACATCTCAAACATCATCAAACATCCAATGAATGTTCA